TTTTTTCTTATGCAAAATCTGTCATCATTAAGTAATTGTTGTTAAATTAGGTTAGCTGTGAATAAGTAAAATCATATCGACTATATTTCACTATTTGATGCATTGCAGCTTCGGAATCATTTCACATTTTGACATTTTTTTATAATTTAGCTAATATTGAATGAAACTTCGTATTAGAACTACACTTGACATTACATACAACTTTTTTTTATAAATTTTTTCTCTATTCATTAAAACAAAGGTAGGTACTTTAGTTTTGATAACATTTTATATTTTCTTCATTTCGAGGCACACTGTATATTAAATCGTAATTCTAATGGCTGATGAGTTTTCAGAATAAGCGGAAGTTTTTTCTGAAAAATAATTTTTTACTAAAAAATCGAAAGTAAAAAAAGTTTACAACTCGGTTTACAAGTATAATTAAGTCCATCCATGAACACACTGTATATACACAAACCTAAAAAATCGAAAGTAAAAAAGTTTACAACTCGGTTTACAAGTATAATTAAGTCCATCCATGAACACACTGTATATACACAAACCTAAAATTCATCAACATTTGGCAATTATAAAAACAGGTTAATAAAATTTAAATTAAATCACAAAACAGATGACTAGCCAGAATGTTGTGATTTAATTTAAATTTTTTCTAAAATAGTTTAAATAATTCAATTCCGATTACTAGTTTTAATTTTGTCATTCATTCATTATGCTACAATTAAAGTAAAAACTTCCATAGTGATTAGTGATTACCTAATATCTTGTGCTGATATGGTTAATGCATGGATGATTTTATTAAAAAAAAAAAACAATTTTTCAGTTTCTCTTGTTTTCGAGAAATCTTATTAAAAATTATAGCCTTTAACAGTGTTTCCATAAGGAATATCTGAGTGTTTTACTGAAAGTAATAATTTAAATAAAAAAACTTTTAGTTCTTCGTCATTTACATAAATTGTTTAAAACTCAATAATTTACAGATAATTTATGGACTGTTACGTTGTTTTGTTATGTGTTATGTATCATCAAAATATGCTTTAAAGTGACGTTTCATCAGGTCTTAAACTTACTTTCATGTTAACGAAGAACGAATACCAATCTGTTATTTTAAATCATATGCAGAGTAGGTGAAGTTAGGTATAAAGAGGGATAGTCCCCCTCAACTCCTGCCATCCAAGGTCATCTCAGAGCCATGGATATTGACGCGAGTAAATGAAATTACAGGCATAACTAATATCGGTTTTTTTTTGTTTGTTCTAAATACGATTTTTTACTGAGTTTTACGAAAGTTATTCTACACACAAATGAAGTATACATCATCACCTAATGAAAACGCCGAGGAAAATTATAGACATTAAAGTCGTAAAATTAAATCTGAGCGAAAATATTTTATTTTAGAAATATGTCTGAAATTTGGAAATTCCAAGATACTGATAGTCTGATTCAGTTAATGTAAATGTTATCTTTTTTGTACATAAAGCATAATATAACATTCTAATTGACCTTGAAATAGGTTTGGCATTGTTCCTCCGGTATTGTAACTGCGCAAATAAAAATTATTTGACGAAACTTTATATAGGTTTCATGCTATAATATGAAATAAAAAAATTGCTTTTCAGTTTGGCTATGGTATAATATACGAGTATTGCTGTCAAAATATAAGTCAAATATAAATAAACTAAATCAACACGTTAAAACATATTAGAACATGAGTCAAAACAGCTACTGCTTTGCTGAATCAAGAAAAATTGATTGATTTGATGGGTTCACCAGTGAAAAACGTTTGTTTTACATTTTATAACGAGGGCCAAAATAGTTTTAAAAATTATAAATAAATGCTCAAAAAAACTTCTCATTGATGACTGAGTGTCTTGGAATTTAATAACTTTTTAAAAATTTATTTTCTAAATATCTACCGTTACGTTGTGTTGAATAGTTGTCAATTCGTTCATGTAAATAAATGGTGGATAATTAACAGCACGTCGAATTCCATCATCGATGGCTCTGAGCTGTATCGTTTTTTATTAGATTATCTGGTATTCTCGGTTTGTATACATAAACTTAAAGGCGGAATTCATACTAAAACGATAGGCAACAAACAACGGACAATTAGCTACGAGTAACAGGAGATATCATGTCTCTCATGTATTCAGACCAAAACAATTAATTATTAGTGTGTAGATGTCAGCTGTGAACAACCTGCTGATTGCATACGTAGACGAAGATTTTGTCTTTATGTATCAGCAACACTATCTCTAGCAACACGACAGGAATATTTTTCGCGATTCAAATCGCCTCCGGAGATATTTCTTAGAATGACATTTTCATCGTTTAGTTCTAAACGGGCTATGTTAAACGTAATGTTATTTTTACGAACAACACATATCGCGTATTGCATATCGCTCGTAGCCTATTGCCTTGGTGTGAATTCCGTCTAAGACTTCAATATCTGTAAAAAATAATCAGAAGTCGTTAAGTCGAGTGATCTTGACTTCAATCCGTGTAAAAAATAATCTGGTCATTAAATCGGGTGATCTTGCCGGCCAATTAGACGGAAATTACACCAAAATTATAGGCTACAAATAACAAGGAATATAATGTCTCATATATTCACACCGATACGATTAATTAATTGTTAATGCGTAGAAGATATCAGCTATGCTTTGATGTGATTTCCACCTTAATGTCTTTTTTACCAAAGTTAATTACCCGGGACACGTTTCTTTAAAAGAAATCAGTGCTGTTCCAAAAGTTGTGATATGTTGCTGCGTGTTGATACCAAATTTCATTGTTTTGGACACCCAGTCGCATAGTGACTGAAATTGAAGAACTAGCTTAACTTATCTTCCACTTCCAAACAAAACTCTTTCTGCGAAATTTAATTCTCAATGCCAAACAGCAACATAATTCGATAAATTAAAACCCCTTTAACAATGAATCGCCTTATCAGCACCGTATCAAAACTATCAACACTGACTCGCAAGTCTTGAATTCTGTCATGGCCATGAACTGACTGATTGCTAATTACTTGATACGTGTTGTGTAATGCCAATCCAAAATAGGGTGTTTGACACTATGAAAAATAAACTAATACATTATGTGAATACGATAATTTATCGAATAAGAAATCAGAAATTATCGGTTTGTATTCACAGAAACACGAGGTTGATTTATTATTTCAATTTTAAAATGGTATTTTTTAGTTTATGAACATGTCACAAAACGCTACCCGCCATGATGGTTTTAACTGTGACATCACTCTTGTAGTAAGTAAGCAATACCTACGATTATCTTATCGTGACTGCTTTGTGAATATTTGGACTGGTTTCGTGTTTTTTAAGTTTATAATAATTAATCACGGAGGGCGGTTTTTTAAAAGCGGACAGTACGAATTTGCCAAGAATAGATACAATCAATAATGGTGGCTAAATTCTTTGGGACTAATCCCGATTTCTGTTCTGCCGAATTTAGGAAGATTAAAACATCTGTGTAAGTATGTAATATTTGTTTAGCTCTAATTTTAAAGCCAATTAGGTACTTATGTTTATAAAAGTGTGTATATTGTACGTAATTAGAACATTATTTAATAGACAATCTTCAGCATAACCTCAAAATTACAAACATAACAATTATGTGAAAGACTTCACTTGTTTACATTAGTTGTAAAGGTCAAAGCTACTGAAAGTATAAGACAAAATAGTACTTACATCAAAGTGATCCTCACAAAAATACAGTACCTATATTTGGCAAGTTGTAACCAAGTTTTTCTCATTTTAATGTCATCTGGCAGTTTTACAAACTTTTGTGGTATATTTACACTTGTACTCTTGCAGTTGGCACCAAACACCACGTATAACGATGGGAAGTCATTATTTATATGATAAATAAAAAAACGATAACGAGCGTTACTTCCGCTTGTTTGTTTACTACAAGAATGATGTCACAGTAGATAGTGACATGGCGGCTCGTGTTTTCGCGCCAATTTATATATTTGAAATTTTGAATGTTATTTCATTCTATAAAGCGACTTCATATAAGCGAAATAAAAATTTTTAAGACAATTTAAAAATAAGAGTCAACTAGCCCATTTAAAAATAAGAGTCAAATAGCCAATTTAAAATGTGTGGATTTTCATTTTTGTACCTACAGTGGTTTAAATTTATTCTGTTATGATTTATGAAAAATAGTTATATTTATACCAATTTGTCTATTAAGCCCTGAGGAAGTTTATGTACAATAAATGAAACGTAGGCAAAGTGCATTTTGATTTGGCCTATCGTCCTTTTGCCGACAATTTCTTAAAAAAAAAAACATGAATTCAGACTGAAATATTTTACCAATTGAAAATACTTACATAACGTCACCACCTACCGAAATGCTTTCTTTCTGGCACTATTTGTAGTGCGTGCTAGAAAGGGAGCATCTCGCAACGTGGTGACTTTAAGCTGATGAGTATGGTACATATCTGCCGCAGAAAGATCCATGATTTCTGAGGAAATTATATCACGACATAACACATACTCTTTATAATTAGATAACAGAAATGACTAAGATTGAGGATATCATTCCAGGTCAGTGTTCATAGTTTCCGGACGCTGCTGATAAGGTGAGTCTAACGAACACAATCACCGTGAGTGTTGACGGCACCAGTTCGTTAAATGAGACAGTTGACTGACTGCAGCGTTGCTCAACTTTGTCATGATAAGGTTGAGCTGACGCTCTCAACGTTTGTGTTCGGTAAACGCACCCATTATAAAAAATGTTTTAGTGTTTCGAATTGTGTTGCTCTCTTGTCCCGAGGATTAAATTTTGCAAAATGGGTTTCATTCCAAAATAGAAGGTAAGTTGCGTCTTGTCCATCTAATTCGTTGATTTCAGCCACTGTCGTCGGAGATCCGTTACAACTGTTTACAGCATTTCCACAGACCGCCCTGAAATAATTGTTACTGTTGTTTTATTCGAATAAATGGAGATACTTGAGGTCTAAAATGTATGTACACACCACCAGTTCGGTGGCGTAGTTGGTTAGAGCGCGCGATGGCAAGTATGACTAGAAATCTTTCTAACGTAGTTGTGGATTCGATTCCCGCCACTGGCACTGGCAATGTCGGTGGAAATGGTTGTATATTCACATTTTTCTAAATGTGACTCCCCTCTAAACAGGTTCGGCTTTAGAATCGGGGGTTGTCTAATCCCTCGTCCTAATTTTGTTGAGGGACGTTACCAAACAATCTTAAGTGTTTAAAATAAAAATTTATTCAGACAAAATCGTAAGTACGAGATGCATTTGATCGGACTATTTCCTAAATAAACAACATTAATAATTCAACACAATAAATATTTAATGAAATGAAAATATAATGACGCTAAAATTTTTTTGCTAATTATTATTTTCTGACATTTACAAAACAATTATCACAGATAAATAGAACATATCTTTTTAAACAATTATTTTTCCCGCTATTTGCTAAATGCTGAAACTTGGATTATAAAAAAGATACTGTGCACATTATGTTCAGTACAACTGACTCAGTAATGTTATTTTTAATTCTAAGTACTCTGTTCATTAAAAAGAAAAATAAATAAATCAAAAATACTCACGAGTTGAACAATCACTTCAAAACTTTAAAACATCCACAGACACGTGTTTCTGCATCTATGCGTCTTCAGTATGGCCCTTTGAAAGCCCCGAAAGTAACTGTGAATCTTAGTAATGTAATAAATATTAATGATTTCAGAGAAAAGACAATCCTCATAACAATTTTAGCTTTCTTAAAAATGAGATTGCTGTTAGCAGAAATAAAATTTTGTATACAAGGGGTTCAAAAAATTTTAATAATGTGGAAATTACTTAAGAATAAATTACTCTTAGTTTTAGTTTTTAGTTGAGTTATGTATTAATTTGTCCGTATCTCGTCTTTATAAACGGTTGTTTTAGTTGGCATTATGCTAATAAATTAAAAATCAGTACGTCATTCTTGGTATATTCTCATATTGTTGACTTTTATGGACACCCTATACATAAAATCTTATTTTTGCTAAGGGCAGTCTTATATTTTGAGCAAGCAATAGTTTTTATAAAAAATGACATTCTCTTAAAATCAAAAATAGAAAAGTTTCTCCTCTTCATCCGGAGACACACTGTTACTGCATGATTTTTGATAAAAAATACATATAGCCCAAAGAGACGGAAGACCATTTATTAATAGTGATGTGATAATGAGATACTGTTCATTTTCAGAAGTTTGTTAATATGTATAATAAAAGTTTCTGTAAAATTATGTTATTGTCACGCCATGATATTTACAAAAAAAAAAAAAAACTATTTCTATTGATCGGTGAAATGGTCTCTGTGTCTTATTGCAACATAAGTAAGTTTCTTGGCACAGCGTAACGAATGTACGTTTTGCTTTGTGGTTTTGTTTTGGCGAAGTGGTTAAGTTAATTTCTCGTACTTGCAAATAAATAAATAACAACATTATGAGAAAAAGTTACGAAAGTGGATTTAATTATCTGAACGATTTATTATTTTTATTATTATTTTTATAGAAAACTAAGACGGTAATAGTTATTCCCGGTAAGTTTGCATCTAGTGATATATTTTCAAGGGTTCCACTGACCTAAAATTCTTAAAAAATTTGAAGTTGTTTTAAATTCCATAAATTCATAAAAATATCATAATCAAAAATAACAACATTTGTGGTAGAACTTATAAAGCAGTATAATTTCGTTGAGGATAGGGATATTTTTTAATACCCTTTATATTTTATAAAAAAGAAAGAAGAAAATGGGGAGTATATCTCGAAAACTGAGTGTCACAGAGAGGCGAAATAAATATCGATCGACTTGCAAAACGTAAAAAGAGCAAATATTTTTCATGAGTATGTGGTGTTTCGGTGTTTCGTGGATAACTACGTCAGTTTTAAAATACTTCAATTCTACTATATACAAAACACAAAACGTTGAGTATATTTGTTGACCTAGATGCGACGAAAGCAAAGAGTCAGTATCTTAAAAAGTGTTTAGATGAGAAGGAGTGTATATCTATGTTATTTTATTTTAAAATGTTAATACGTAAACTAATTTTATTGGAAAACGTACGGATTTGTACGGATTTTAGTTATTTTAGTTTTTTTTTAATTATTTTTTTTTGCTTTGGTACAGAGCATATTTTATTTTGTTATATTTTTGTGGTACCTTAAATATTAAATGAACTGAAAAAATGTTAACACCCAAGTATAGATATTTTTTTTTACTTGTTTAAATTCTAAATCCGGTTTAACAGTTTTTTTTAATACAGGAATTTGAAACCCGGTTTGTTCAAAAGTCTATTTTTGTATAAATCCCAGATAAACTGAATTTATAATATTGCAATCCGGAATAATTTGAAATCTACCTAATATATTGAAATGTTTAAAATTGCTTACTTGTCAATTACATCCACTACACACGGCAGTTTTAAACTAAAAAAAAAAAATTGTATTTTGGTTTTGAGCCACTAGGTTATGATTTGGCAGCGGAGATATTTGCCCTTTTTAGGGCCGGCAGTTATATAAAAAAAAATCCTATGGTATAAATATGTTTTGCATAATAGAGGACGTACGAAATAAATTTTTGTGGGTAACAGTGGTTGAAACAGGTGTTATAAGGTTGTTAATGTTGTACTAAGAATTTTGAGCTTTGTCTCCAATATCAATAGCCAGTAAATGAGTACAACAAACCACAGTACACACTGTAAAAGTATGTGTTCAAAATATTAATATGTACCAGTGGCGGCTGATGAAATTGGCATTACTATTAAGTCTAATTAAAGAAGTTTTTTTGCAGAACATTTTTTTTTCAGAGAGATTTCTAATTTCATGAAAAAATATTGCTTTTTTATTAAGTTACACCGTTTTGAAATTTTATTTTAGATTCCTTTTTCACTGCAAATTTCAAAATAGTGTAGCCTTCCAACGTTACATAAATATAAAGTCACATAAAAAAAAAGTTACATGAAAACTGTTTTTTTTTTGTAGGTGTTTTGCATATTTTAAATCGCTTTTCCACCACCTCTATATTGCATACAAGACACCGATATACCATCACATTTAAAGTCACGAACTTTGTTTACCGTGCGTAAAATGCCAAATGTGACCAAATATTAACAACGACCGATTGACAATCGAGATGGACATAGGGATGAACATATATTTTTTATCATTTATTGTAGCAAAAACAAATAAAGCAACAAAATAAAATCAACCTTTCTTATAAATAAAACTGGATCCCTGGATGCTTTTAAAGAATATTCATATTCAAATTTGAAATAACCTCTTTTTCGGCGATCCTGTATGAATATTGGTTCTAGTAAAACTCGAATGTTACAAAACATATCTAGTAATGAAACTGTTTTCTCTGGTAGTGCATATATTCTATCAAGTGATGAAGAAGGAAAGACTGAAAAATGTGAAATTCCTGAGAAAATGTTTGAAAAACTTAAATGAATTACCTAAAAAATAAATTATCTGTCATGGCCGAAAATAATTTAATTTTAGATGGCTGCAATGATGCCTTTTAGAAAAAAAGGCAACGTTAGAAAGAAAATTTTTGATCTAAAAGAGAAAGTTTCTAGAAAACAGCTGCGAAATCCAAACCAATGGAAAAAAGATCAGCAATTGCAAGAGACAGATGAGAAGAATGGAATGCTGAAAAAGAAGATAGATGATAAGATAAGAAGGTGATGAGGAAATCTTTGAACGAAATGAAGAAAATTCAAAGAAAAAGGGAATTAGTTTTGAAAATAAAGTTGTTTTATATTAATTTTTAATATTCAAATAAAACATATTTAGAATCAACACTTTTTCAATCTTACTGATTTCCCTGTATAAGAATGTCATGTATATCTAACTTTTTTTTTTCAAATAATAATGCTGCAGAAATGTCCATAGTGCTAACCATTAACCAACAGTACAAGATTCAACCTACTGAACTATTAGTTGTTTTTTGATAAAACAAAATAAATAGAAACAAATCTGAATCAATGTTTTTAATTCAGGTCTATGCAAAATAATGATTTTGGTACATGTCACCCATTTGTGTCTACAATTCGTAGATGTCATGAAAGTAACTGCATGTTAATTCTATTTGAAAATATAATACAAGGATAATGTAAAATAAATAATGCTATATATAAATCATAACAAATAACTAATATTTGAGTAAAATAATAATTGTAAAATTTCTGAGGAATGCTAAAAACTTCTTAGGAATTCCAAGGGAATTCCATATGCTTGTACACCCAACACCAAATTTCCAAACAGGTTTACCCCTCGGTTAATCCTGTGTGAGTTATTCATATTAAAAAGAAAAAACAGTCCATTTCTTAAAATTCTTTTTTTTTGTTGCTACTGGTTTCCTGAATTATGGTTTGTTTTACATCTTCAGGCAACAATACTGTAACGATTGAAATGTGTATATATTGAGAATGTTTCTACAATATATGAAATTAGTATCATAATATAATTTTGGGAAACATTTTTAGATGAATCTAATAAATTAATTTAACTATTCTAGTAGATATAAACACATTTTTTTGTATGTAGAGTAGTATGTATTTAAACAAATATTAGGATTTTTTGAATTAACATTAACATAATTATCTTTACACCTAATTACACCAGTATTCGACGATTAGAAAATTCCTCATCGCCATTAGAAGGGTCTTTAAATTTGATTCATATTGTACAAAGTGGATTAAAAACTAAAAAGTTTCACCCGGTATGCGAGTGAGTAAACGGAGTAATTACGTTTTAAAAATAAATGCGGGATATGAAAAGTTATGGTTTATGTGAACAGTTTTGTCATTGCTGTACACGTTTGATTTTCTCATTTACCATGTCTTACGATCCCTCATACTGTATGCCAAATTTGGGGTAAAGATTTTGACAAAAGTTGTAAAATATACAACGGTCAGCAGTCAAACAAGTATAATAAGGTTAATCAGCAGTTAGTTTGATTTTACAATGTTACTCTAATTTAAAACTATTTCGCATCATTAAATAAATTGTACAGAGAAAAGTCTGTAACCTCGTTATTTTCAAATTAGAATAAATAGTA